TCTACTTTTCAAAATTAATTCGACTGTATTGACTCTGACCATCATTTCTCTCTCTTACTCATGCCACCATTCCAGTGTGTGTGAGGGAGATGGGTAGATTATAATATATCGAATAAGTTTTCCTGAGTAGGGCCTTTGTATGCTCGATATTGTCGCATGTATCGATGAATTAATGTAACGAGCCGAAATATCTGCAGCAGGCGACCGAATTGCTTAATAAAATCAACGCCTAGTGATTTTAATTTCAGCAAATCTGTTGTAAATTTGTAGTAATTGACTAAAGCTTTTGCTTTTTTTTTCAATAAAAGAACGTTTACCAGATTAGCCTAATCATACATATGAAACACTAGTGTAGGCATAGTTGCCTATCTACAAAAACCCATCTATAAAAAAGTTACACAGTTGTTGAACACTATTTTAAAATGACATTTCCATACTAAACGTCACTTTAAAACACTGTTCAACGAGCGTGTAAGTTTTATTAGTAAGGCGGTAATGGATTTTATTTTACTCTGTATTACGAGTATGTATGCCATTTACAAATCCTCCATGCCACGTGTATACTCTTAGGCCGGGTTGCACCATCTTACTTATACGTTATCCGGTGTTTTTTGTATGGAGTTTGACAGATTATTGATGTACTTGTCAAAGTTAAGGTAGGATGGTGCAACCCAGCCTTAAATAATGCGATATTAAGGGCTGATTTTTCAATCGCTGGTATACTTTTAACTGAAGAATAAGTTTGGCACATTGACAGTTTCAGTATGGGAAATATGTCAAAATGTCTATTTTTATTCTTTAAATAAAAGTTATCCGACGATTGAAAAATCAGCCCTAAATTCTACGTTATTGGTAAATTTTATAGTAGTAGTAAGTTCCCATAAAAGAGACTGGAGAAAACTTGTTGTGATTCGGTTATCGGCTTTTCTTCCATCGAACGTTAAAAGTTAAGTAGCTTCGTAGTAGTTCGTAGTCCGTAGTCGAGCTACGAGTGCTACGTCGTAGCAGAAGCTGTAGCTACGAGTAAACAGCTTTGGACAGTTGTGTTGTTGACTATTTTGGTAGCTTTTCATTAACGATAATCAAGGTTATATATTGGACAATAGTTTTTTGATAGTTTTGTCTATTTGAAGGCTTCTTTTCTTTATCATCCAGATAATTTTCAAGATTATAATTATTTAGCCTTTACTTTCAGTCGTGATATAAATCGATTTTTTGTAAGCAAAAGAGACTTCTCTGCAAATAAAGGTAACTTTACACCACATTTTAATACCAATAATTTACATACTGCAAATCCTTCGTTCGTAGCACTGTGCTACGAGATGCACGTAGCAGAAGCCGTAGTTCCGGCGGAAGTCGGGGTCGCAGACAACATGGCTCCGGACGTTTCCGCTTCCGGAGCGCGTATCGGACACGCGCGCTGTTTTATGGCTTAAGCGGTCTCATGTCTTTGCTTATGAGAATAGTTATGTATTTAATGAAGAAGTAAGTAATATACAGATAGATGAAAGTACCACTTTTTGTGAAGGGTTATTTAGTGAGTTTAACCTTAATGCTTCACTTATGTGAATGTAACGTACGTGAAAGATTTATTTTAAAAATATAATTTACAATTAAACTTTCAGTTTTGTAAAAAATAGTGCGAGTATAAATTAAACACAAAATCTTCAAATGTTAACAGAATTGTTTTGTTCCGGCAGTTACAGGTAAGATAGCCAGTTCCTCCGTGGGTGAGGATTCCGGGTAAACCTCGCTTCCACCTTTGGCCTGATCATCACTTTGCATCAATTGAGATATAGCTTAATTGTTGTCCTAGATTAAAAAAAACATTGAAATTTCTAACATACATTATTAAACTAACATTACACAATAACTGTTCCATACACAGATCACAGAAACTAAAGGGAGATGTGACAAGGGGGCGGGCCGGTGTCGCAGCAAAATGCCCAAAAACAGAACACATTGATTGCTCGTGACAGCAATGATGACAGCAGCGACGTCATAATGTAAACAGTTTACATTGCTTGCGCAGTACTAAAGATTATTCGAACGTTTAGTACTGATACCGCAGTGGAATAATGAGCACATATTTTGATTACTTTGTGTGTGTGAATTTCTATAATAATGCGACACTGAGTTTCGAACTCAACGCATTAGTTGGCATCTCTCTATCTTTAATAACCGTTCCATATTTCGTTAATTGTAGAACAACCATTTACATTCCTTATACAGCTGAGTAACAGTGTTACAAGATGTGTAAGTAACAGAAGCCGTAGTTCCGGCGGAAGCGGGGTCGCAGACAACATGGCCGCCGGCCGTTTCCGGGTCCGGAGCGCGTATCAGTGTGGTAACTCGTAGCATAGCTTAAGCTGGTTCATATCTTCGCTTATGAGAATAGTTGTGTGGGTTGCATGTGGAGGTTTTACTGCTGAAATATTTTTGGCAGAATTTCTTTGTATTGTAAATAGGTACTGATAGGTCAGTAATGTTTGTATGTTTACGTTTATTTTTTTTTAAAGAAACACACGACCATTAGAAGTTTTTAACAGTTAAATATACAGGGTGTTTCTTGTAAGGTGTCAAGCCGAAGGCAGGTGATAGGTGTGGACTAGACCTATCGATTTCACCCCCATGTATGTTTTACGATTTTTCATAGTTTAGAAGTTATCGTTAATTTTGTGATTTTTTCAAATTGTATGACCTAGTAGGCTTTAAATTTTTTATCTTTTTTTTGGGTCGATTTTTCTCAGATTTCTTTTTTTTGACAGATTCCCTATTAATTGCAGATTTTTGAAAAAAATAATCAACTTCCTATATTTGATGCAAGATACAAAATTTTTGCTAGAAACATAAAAAATATGCTTTTAGCGGAACATTCTAAAATTTTCAACTTAAAAGTTTAAAAAAAAAAAGAAATTCCATTGGACCAAAATAATTTAAAAAACTGCGCAGTTTTCTGAACTTTTATAATAACACAAAAAAACATGTACTTAATAGGTCATTATTTTCTGTAATCGCTCCACTAAAGTGGTAAGTCGGAGATTCCGTTACATGTTTTTGACTTTCTTAGGACTAACTAATGTTTGCAATCCCTTAAGTTTACGTTATTTAGAATACATTCAGAGACAATATCTGAAAAGAACATTTTTTATCCACAACGAGGAAGCTCTTTCCCTTCATCTGGTATCAAAAAAATACCATAGGGAATATGAAAATATTGATGAACTGCGGACAAAGCTGACTGAAGCACAAAACCAAATTAAAATGAAGAAGAAGGTTTTTTGCGTCGTTGTCGAATGTGCATTCAGGTCAACGGCGGACATTTTGAATATTTACTTTAAATTAAATAATTACACCCATTTTTGCTCTCTCGCTCTCTCTCTCTCTCGAGAGAGAGAGCGAGATGTGAGACACACACACACACACACATACACACACACACACACACACACACACACACACACACAAAAAATTTAAAGCCTACTAGGTCATACAATTTGAAAAAATCACAAAATTAACGATAACTTCTAAACTATGAAAAATCGTAAAACATACATGGGGGTGAAATCGATAGGTCTAGTCCACACCTATCACCTGCCTTCGGCTTGACACCTTACAAGAAACACCCTGTAGAGATCTCGAGAGATTTTTGAGTAATTCTCAATCCTTTTTATGTTTAGATTAATAGGTAATGTGGTGAATTAGTTGTTTTATATTATTGTTCAGTGGGCTTCAGTTCCAACTACCTATTTCTGTTTTTTCTTTCGCTCTCATCGAGTAGTAATTCTTTGCGATAGAATAAGTCGACATGACCGGTAGTGGATAGTAGGAATTGTTCATACATCTTTTCCCTAACTTAGTTCATTTTAATTTTCAATACAAATAACATAGAAGAATATACGCGATATAAGTAAATAATCCCTGTTCAAACCTAGCGGATCTCAAAGCTAGCTCGAGTTCAAGATGGCATGTTTGAGAAGTCACTCGCTCGGCTTCACACAGGCAGTGCTGGCACTGCCGGCTGATGGCAAACTGGACAGCTGAGATGTACTTGATTTACTGAGCCTCGTCTGTGTCAATAGATTTTGGCGGGATTCCTACATGAATCAGAATGGAATCAAGAAGTCAAATGATCGATTCTCATTTGTGATAACATCATTGAACGATGCTTTGTTAAATATTTTTTAAATTGTTATATTGTAGGTACGTTTATTGTATTTTTAACGTTGTGACTCACTATGTAAAGTTATAAATAGAGCAGTTTTTTAATCGGTAAAACTGTATTTACTGTGGTAAAACGCATCTATCAGTATTGGTGAATTACAGAAAATAATATTACATTTTTTAATTATACTATCGAAATGTTCAAATTCAAATTCAAATTATTTATTGCATGTCACATGGGTAAGGGTTGACAAGAACATAACATTGTACATGTGACGCCCAATGAAGGCGTTGCAAAAACTTAAAAATAACATTAAAATAGAGAATTATTTGTCAAACTAAGATAAAATTAAATAAACATTAAAATTATAAAATTAAATAAACATTAAAATTATAAAATTAAATAAACATTAAAATTATAGAATTATGTTATGTACCTATTAAAAAATATGTAAAATTTCTTAGCGAATAGAGTTGCTTCTTAAACTAAATTTTAAATAAACAACATGAAAAAATCAAATACAAATCACTCTCACGTAATGGTCCGGAAAGATACAATATTAATTATCATTCTGTACTTCATAATAATGAATGGTAAGCCGTCAATTCATCATCATCATCATCTCAGCCATAGGACGTCAACTGCTGAACATAGGCTTTCCATGTTGCCCGGTTGGTAGCGGCCTGTGTCCAGCGCCTTCCTGCTACCTTTGCGTCAATTAAGTAAAAAATCAAGATCATTTTAGTGAATTTTGTTGTATGATGATAAACGATAGAATAAAGATAAGATAGAGAATGATAGACACATTACAGTGCGTATATATTTTATTACATTAAATTTAAACTTACAACGTAACAAACAACACAGGCCCTACTTCCTACGACATTAATTCCGCTGTTACATTACAGTTTTTAGCCTCGAATAATGTTACAATAAACCTAATAACAAAAAACTCCGGAGTTTCGATATAAATAGTATTTTGTTATGTATATGTTAATTAATTGGAGTAATAATCTTTTTGACCATCCCCATTGTTAAGATATTTTAACCACAATCATAACTATGTTGAATTTTTTTTGCTAGATGATTTCGTAAAAACTTTGTTTCAGCGATAAAAATTCAAAAACTGTGATTAATTATGACCTGGAAAATTAAAAAGATCCAAAAAATCCATATTGACATAGTCCGTGAATGTTTTTTTCATTTTATAATAACTTCTTCATAGAAATATTACCCCAATTAAGAACCTTAGTTTGTGCATACGTTTCTATTTTAATTAACCTTAGTAGCTTCTAGTTTTTATATTTATATAATTGATACAATGCTAGTCATAAGCCTCCATTAGTATGATGTTACACAGCGTAACGCAGGATATATTTTAGAGAAGTATTTAAAGCCATGTATACTTTAAATTCAATTGTATATTTAACTGTGTAATTTCTAATTATGTAATAAGATTCGACGCCTTAGCTAGCTGAAAGTTAGCTACATATTAATTCTAATAAGTTACATGTATACAAGCTGTTTAAAGTCATATAAAGTACATCTTTTATAATTCAAAATTTTACATTTACTAGCATTTTAGAAATCTTATACACGCGAACTCTCTAACGTTTATTTTAACAGTTAATAATTATATTGCAGTAGATAAATACACTTTACAGTGTGGACGAATTACGATACTTTATTCAGTTATACTAGAAAAATATATACACATTTATATACAGCTATTTTCTACGTAAGCCTACGTATTTGTATTGTAAGGTCACAGTATGATTTCCACAGAAATACAATATGCATATTTTATTTCTGGTCTAATTATTAGTAATTTGTTTTAATGAATTGATTTCTTATTGATTTTAGCTTATTGTATTACTGTGGTTTACGCGACTTTATAAAAATGGAGTAAGAAGCTTTGCAGTAAATGTACGTATTTATATTGCTTAGGTACAGTTGTAAGGAAGATATTGTCTACCCAATTGACAATTTATAATTGCTATATAACTAATCTACAGGAACTATTCTAATGTACACATTTTATACAGTGTAAGCATATAATAATATTGTGCATTACAATTTATATTTTTGTGAAACTATAAGGATAACTTTTATTTATAAGAGAATTGACCAAATTCAATATAATAACTTTTAAATGCTTCCAAAAATGAGTAAAAATATTAACATCAATTTCTTGTTAGTACATTTCTAAGAATAAAATGCACATGAGTTTTAAATTTAAGAACAGAGTATAAAAATAGGATCAACCTACAACACCAACTAAATAGTTGTATTTAATATTAAAAGAAGAAAAAAAGTTACATAAAATAATTAAATTAGTTAGGGGATAGCATAGATAGGTCTTCCGCACTGCGATAACGTATGCTGTGGTCCCTAGGCCATTGCGTCGCTGTAAATATAAACACCATAAGTAAATAAATATGTATTATAAAATGTTTCACCCTAGAGTAGAGAAGACAAAAGAAAATAGGTAAATAAATTAATAGTTAAACAAGTAAATAGTTTACTATCGTGACTACATTTATTTTCAAAGGACAAAATTAAAAGTAGAAACATCAAGCATACTAACTGATCTAAACTCTATATCAGGGCATTAATTAAAATAATTAACCCTTTAGCATTCAACAGGCGCGACTGTGACGCGATGTAAGCGCAATGTGGCACTGATATAAACATTGACAGCCATAAGCGTGTGTTACTAGTGGACAAGATTTTCTTGGGGAAAAATAAGTATGCCAAGCACGTTACTTTTAATAACTGCGCCCTATCCCTGAGCCTCTCGATACATCTGCACCTTTCGCTAACTCGCAACCAGTCTAAAGTCTGTAAATTACTGAGCAATATCTTAGTTTAGCACTGTCCTGCTTAATACACAAAAGTCTTTAGTGTGTGTAGTAGCGTGACACGACTTCTGGTAGGTGTTGGCAACTATAAAGTCGCGCTTGAATCGCGTCGCAATCACGTCGTCAACAAAAGGCTTCAATTTATCTAGGCTAAATACTTCAAAGCTACATTTGCTAGTGTAACAATACCTATTCGTGGTGACATTTCTGTGTGCGTGACATTTCTCTGGGGATTTCTTTCGTTTGCATGCAACACTTTTTTTCGAACGTCTGTGAGAGAATCGAGCTGGAAGTAAACGGGTTAAGTGCAAAAATAAAAAACAAAATATATAGTGAAAAAGATTACATTCTAGAAGATAAAAAGATAAGAACAGAAAGACAAAGAGAGAAACATACAATATACATGCGTGAGCTTATTTAATGTTTAAGAACATTTCACAACAAAATTAATAAATACCTACACATCGAGATTTTTTATTATATTTAAGTTGGTAATTACATGCTTGCGTTCGATTTGTTGAAAAAGTCAGATTGTATACTAATCTATGTTGCCATGCTTCGTCGTGCAATCGTGCTAAAACATTCGTCAATTGAAAGATCAAGGAGAATTTAAAAAAAAGATATTTTCAAAGGGTTTCTCTAGGGACAGATCTAAGAAATTTATTAAGTGAAGATATTTCCAAAGGTTTTCCTTAGGATATTAAATGTTTTCTATTGTTACCTGTATAATGCATGTTGCGGTACATATCTGGGCAGTTACTGGAGACCTGTAACAAGAAGTTTATTAAGTAAACATACTCTCTTTCCAGCCATTATTTCAGTAGGTAGTACACCTTTTTTTTTTAAGAAATACGAGTAATCTTAGCAATTACTTTTATTGCGAATTACTATAGGTATAATATCCTGCATACGTTAGTTTCTCTGGACCAGTGTAAATAGTGAATAATTAAAAAGAACTCTCAACGTAATCCATTGTATAAGGCTGGGTTACACCTTTGACTGTAACAAATGTCAAAAATCTATCAAACTCCATACAAAAATTACCGGTTATCGTTATAGTTACGGTCAAAGTTTGGTGATGCAACTAAGTAGCTATAAACATTCATGCGTTTCTTACAACGTTTCTGTAAAATATGAACAACAAGAGGTCTTTTGTCAACTAATTTGATGCACTCTAACTGGCTACAACTCCGAATGTCCCGTGGAAAGTGCGGCTTTGCCCGGGCAGTCGCTACACTGCCCGCCCGCCTGCATTAAACTTATCTATGAAACCACACGCAGTGACGATACCGCAGCCACAGCACAGTCATACCAGCCAGCCTACTCTCTTGTCGGCATCGTATGCAGGAAAAATACCACTGTAGTATTTATGATGACAGACTCAGATATAAATCAAAGGGATATTGAAACAATACCCTATAGGTCGATAGATAGATAGATGATCTTAGAAAATTTATAACTTGACTGATGACTCTCACCTAGAACTTGTGTCTCTAGAACTAGAGAAATCATTGAGTAAAGCTACATTGCGATTTCGATCATCATTAAGTGACTTTTTAGAAAAATCGATAAGAAAATACAATCGCTTTAAGCATTGACATTTGACAGCCCGGTGGCACAGTTGCGCATGAACCGCCTATTTGGACTCTGGGTCCTAAGATCATACCTGGTGTCTTATGAAAGCAACATTTTGTAAATCGACTCATAATTATCTGGATATGCTAGACAAAGCTCTAGCATAAATGTTGATTCATACCTTACTTGCACTCACTAAACATGAAAGTAGATCTATCTTGATTGTTGCACAATCCAAAAGTTTCCCTAATCCTGAACAATATATCTTATTCTAGGGATGGGCTGTTCTACCTGTGCTACAACCGGGTAGCTCACTACGCTTATATCTTGTTTATTGCTCGGTACGTCTGTAAACTTGCACTGCTTTGATAACTATTGCAGTTTTATCGCCATTGTAACTAAGTTTTGTAGCAATAAGGTGCCTTAAGTTCTGATAAGCGTTATGAATGAAGCAAGTGGTCCGCGAAAGCGCATTCACTAAAAGTTTGTGTAATCTTGCTTTTTATTTACTTGTGGCTTGCAATTTACACACACAAGATTATTACTTATTGCCGTTATGGGTTTTGGATTTTGGTAACTGTTTCCATGTAGATAATCGAATGTTTAATATTATTTTGTAGTTAGATGTTTTTCCAATTCGAGAGTAACATTGTATAGCAGTATAAATATATCTTATGGAGCAGTTAACTTTTACTGAACTGACAAAATGCGTTTCTGGAGATTTTGTATAGCAATCGTATTTCGTGTAGTCTCTTGCATATCAACCACTTAGGCTGAGTTTCACCATCCAACTTTAACCGTAACTATAACCTTAATTGGTGTTGACAGACTGACACAGACAGGTGTGTATGGAGTTTGACAGACTTTTGACGTTTGTTAAAATGAAAGTAAGATAGTGCAACCCAGCCTTAGTGGACGTATGCCCACAAGGTGGACCGACGATCTCATAAAAGTAGCAGGACGGCGCTGGATGCAGGCCGCTACCAACCGGTCAATATGGAAATCATTAGGGGAGGCCTGTGTTCAATGTTCAGCAGTGGACGTACAATGGCTAAAATTATGGTGATGATCCATTAAGTTATACTAAATACTCACAAATCACTACATAGTATAAAGCAAAGACGCTTCTGAAATATATAATGGTAACGAATTACATCTACGGAACCCTACACTGCGCGTGGCACGACACGCACTTGGCCGGTTTTTTATTTAATAGATAGAGTGACGCAAGAGGATGGTTTGATGCCGGGGCGGGTTGCTAGTACAAAATAGATGTCTCTAGGATCACATAGTATTAAATAATATGTATTAAATGGAAGCCGAAGCCTAGCTCTTACTCCATGCTGCAGTCGTGTCAGTGTACGAGTTTGTGTCTGGGACTTAAACTGTCGATAAATCCTACTTGGGACGCGCTCGCATGTCGCTTTTGCAATGGCATTGGAAATATTACCACCATCCATACGTATTTCCATGGCTACATTTTCAAGAATGTTGGTTTTCGGAAAAGTTTTCAGGCTAAATAAATAGTAGTAATTGAATCCTAATTAGAAATAAATAAATTAGTAGAGCTTTTGGAGGATGGAGAGTATTATGACGCCACTTCTATTCTAGTAGGTATAATATTCATGTTCCTTAAGTAATCTGGCACGTGACTGTATCATGAAATCTCTTTCTATTTTCCCCATAAACAGCATTAAATCCTTTCTCATGATTTCACAAACTAAGTATGAATTATAAACGGAGGCACTCGTTGGTCCAGCCAGCTTAATTCGTCCAGTCCAGCGTTAAGAAGTCCTATCTACAGTTGGTCCCTAAACCACTGAGCCGTCGCGTCGTGGCGACAATAAATTGTCAACAAAGCCGTCTGAGATGCACTCTCTTCTCGTCGTGTATTAAGGCATTTAAATGGTAGCGACCGATAATTGAAAATATGAAAATGGTTGAGTCACTCAATATTCTATCAGTACCTAGGTACTTATGACTATTTTAGTACAACTTGCGATTTATGAGTGATAAAAATATTTCAAGGATGCTTTTTAAATTGCAGGCAATGTTCCTAATGTCCACCACGTAGTCACGTGATGGGATTTCATGCAGTCGCATGAAATATCTTTCTACCTTCCGCTCAAATGGAATCAACATTTCTCGTTCGTTCGTCGTTCGTTTCCGCCGAAAGACGTCCACTGCTGGACAAAGGCCTCCCCCAAGGATTTCCAAAAAGACGGGTCTTGCGCCGCTCGCATCCAGGCACCTCCCGCGACCCTCACCAGATCGTCGGTCCACCTAGTGGGAGGCCTGCCTACGCTACATTTCTCACTATAGCACTAACTAAAGCTTCGTCCAGTTAAATTCGTACTGTCCACTGTTAAGAAGTCCTTCTATCTTCAGTTGGTCGCTAAACCACAGTGCGCCGTGGAACGACAATAAATCTCCAACGAAGCCGTCTGCGCTCGCAAAATAATAATATCGCGTCTGCCACCGGCTCACTAATTAATTCGATACGGGCGCACTGTGGTTTAGAACGTCTTAGACGAGGAAACGAAGGGGAACCAATGGTGGTAGTGTTGGTAGAGTATTTAGCACTAAATCTAATACTAGACCTTGTTTTTCTTCTTATTTAAGAGATTGTAGTTTATTATCGAGTTTAGAAGTGTCTAATAAATAGTATCGTCTCTACTTAAACTTGGTCTAATCCGTTCTTAATTGTTAACATTTAACCCGCTAACCCCTCGTGGTAAGTTAAATATGCTTGTGTTACGAGTGGGCTCACGGTCACTCATCAGTCATCACGTCACCACCACAATAGTCGAGCGGCGGCGGGGTTCGTCGAAACCGCGTTTCTTGGATCACGAGTCGGCCAGTCCGACCCCTCCACCGTCCGGCTAACATGGCTTCATTATTATAAAAGACTTATAAAAAAACAATAGTATGTCATTACCTGAGCCCCTTGCTTGTTGAAGTTGATGTTGGTCCTGACAGTGCGGTGGTGGAGTGGCTGCACTGGCCGGGCGTTGTTGCCGAGAGGCGCCTTCGGGGTCAGTTGTGACCCTTGCATGAGCTGACGCAACGCGTACATCTGCCAATAAAGTATAAGGTGAAAAGTGGAACAGATAAACGGTTTTTTTTGAGTCGGGAAATGCCACTGGCTGGCTGGGACAGTCAGTTAGCGGGTCATGTGGGACTTTCCCCGCTAGGAGGGCGGGGCCTACCCACTAAAACCTGATGGTGTCCTCCGGGGCCATTGAAACGAAGCCGCCAGTTATTGTCCTATTGGACATTCTTCCGCGGCTCCGTCTCAGGCTACTGCTCGCTCTTGGGCGAGCCCCTCCGGCTTCGAGGAGAATAGTCATCCTAGGTAACCTACTTTTTAAATCGACTTGAATGACGAGTTGACAACCTCCTCTGGTTGTCGACTCGTCGTGTTCCTCCCTAACTACTTACCTTGTAACTTCTCATGAGGCCCATATTAAGCGACCACGTCTTCGTTTCATATGTTATCGCTTGCAACACACACTGGGCAAAGATTTGTCTTGAGACACAGCCATATTTTGGACATGTCGCGAAGCTTCCCGAACGCTGCCCAGTCGAATTATATTCAACGATTGACCTCTTTCTCGAAGCTGAGCCTACCTAGCTGAACTTTTTCCCTGTCGCGACACCCTCACTCGGGCGGTGACGGAACGTCGCGGAGGTTTTAGTGGGTATACCCCGTCCTTTTCAGGACGGAGCAGCGCCCTTTACACGGCGCCGGGAGTCCCACACACTACCCTGTCCCCCGACAGTGGTGAAGGTGCGCAAAGCAAATGCTTTTTTTTGCAAACAAACAGTTTTTTTTTGTCACGGAGGAAATCCTCCGTGACAAAAAAAAACTGTTTGTTCTTGATAGGTACACATAATCGCCAATAACTGCATATCTCACCTCCTGCTTGGAAATATAAATGGGTTTGTTGAAGATGATCCAGACGGCCGTCTCCCAGCAACCAGGGTGCGTGGTAGAACCCTCATACGTTAAGTACTGCTGGGTGTTTGGCAGCAAGGAACTGAGCGGGAGATGCTTGATGGGGAACGAACTGCCTGTGAAAGAAAACATCATCATCGGATAATTTAGTCTCCCGTGAAGTGCACGACCCCTTATTTGAATAGAGGCAAACGGAAGATTTGGTCTACATATTCCCCACGCCGGTTGGGGTTAGATGAGGATAAAAAAATAAAAATAACCATAAGTAGGCCCAGTTCTGCCATTGATAGAAGCAGTAGCTTGACAGGTTTAGGAGCTAGGTACTAAAGTTTTACTTACAAATACAAAACTAGAAGTCTTTGTGAAAAACATTTCAAGCAAAATGGAACAGTACGTACCACGAAACATGACTTTGTTGAACGCGCTTGTGATGAGCCTCAACTCCTTATTCGTGGGTTCTCCGATCTATGACAAAACAATCATATCATTAGCAATCATAATCCACATTTTTTCCATTACAAACTTATTTCTGCAGTTGGCAAGTATAGAAGAACGTGTATTTCATTTATTAATTTTGAATTGGTTACTTACTTGCACCATCAATGAAATGCCGACAACCCCTTGTGATTTGTGCTGGGCCTCGGACATGTTGTGGTACAGTTCCTTGTTGAAGCCATAAAGCTGGATCTGATGACAAAAAATTACAATGGGCAATCGATGTAAAGATTTTTATCCGATTTTATGCAAGTCTCTGTAATATACGAATATTATATGTAATATCTGTCTGTTACCTACTTTTCGAGACTGCTGAATGGTAAATGAACCTTTATTATATTGTTGCTAACTATAGGGCGAAATATAGGATGAAGATTTATATGGGGAAAAGGTTCATAAAGTTTTTAAAGGAATTCGCAATCTACACAAAGTTAGCAATAACCAGGTCATAAACTTATACAAATTATTTTAATATCGAATACTACTTCTCAAAACGAAAATCTCCACGTCTAGAAATCCAAGGAAACCAAAGCTTCCAAAGTGAAATCAACCTGTCGATTTCAGAAGGCAGTCAGTGGTCCGACGACCCCGCGGCGAACCGCAAGTTAAAATAATCAAGTGATTGGACCTTTCGGTTCGAGCTCGTTAGCAAGAGCTCAAACGGTTTGCCTAATGGCCCCCTTTACAGAGACGAACTAAGGGCCGCAAAAAGGGCTCCTGTTTATAGTAATACAAATAAATACTTCAATTGAAAAAAAAATCAGAGGGAGGAACAACAGAACTTGGGAGTTGCGACGATTTTTCAAAACTGGCCTGTATAAATTAGGTTCTATTCTCAATCATCTTCTTTTGAATAAACGCTTTTTTTATATCAGAATATACTGCCAAAAGGACAAGTAAAAATGTTCATAAGTAAGAGCAGTATGTAAAGATAATACACATGTTCTATTTAGGTTTTGTCGCTTTTCCAGATAACGACAGCTTTATAGATGACGGACTGTACAGTGTACATCAAGTTATAAACATTTTTAACGCGAACTCCTATTAAATGGGGATTTTCTACGAAATAATATAATCTGATGGCAATATTATTATGAACATAGGATACCAGGCAGGAGCCTCTTAGTGAAGCAGCATCTAATTTAGAGACACAATACGAACTCCTTGTCGGTTTCTACGAGCCCCAAGAACAAAAATCTGTCCTTAGTCCGCGCCTGTGCTGTAGCAGATATTTAATGCCACTCTGTTAATTGGCATATTTATCGGACTTTTGTCGTTCGTATCTATGTCTGAGCGAATTTTCCTAATTGAAATCGATTGACAAGATCCGCAGGAAGGTTTCAAAGGTCAAATTACAAAAGAAGACTGCGATAGTTCCGAACGAATATAAAATCGGTTTGATTGGCAAATAATACGATGCATTACTTATTAACTGGTTTCAATTTCAATAGATGTCTATTGTAATTAATAATAGGTTTGAACTATTATTAAGTTGTATTCTATTTTTATCACAGATATTATAAAATAAATTGATATATTGTATGTAATCCAAAATTAACTGCTTGACGTAATAAGTACATGCTTAGCGGGTGCCTTTTTGTCAGAGGGGCACAAGCAGTTAATTGTCCACTTGTTTATTCCTCCCTGTTTTAATCTATGTCTAACCTGCTTGTATACCTTTCTTGCAAATAAAAAGTTGTCTATTCTATTCTATTCTATTCTATTCTATTCTTAGTATAAAGTTTAAAAAAGCCTTTGTAAGTATGTAGGTTTCTATTTAGTATTGGAAGAGATATTCTTTTTTGTCTTGCATCGCTACTAACGCTCGTTAGTCGCATTTGCAACGCAATACAGAAGTGATGCCAACACGCCTCAGCAGCGCGACTGTATCGCTACAAAAAGTCGATGTAGGCAAGGGCAGGGCCCTAAATAGCTTGAAAAAAAAAAATTGCCACGATGTTGTGCCTATAAAATTGAGAAATCTTAAAAACGTTACCAACCTAAGTTAAGTTAGTTAAACCTGGAAATATTATCATGACTAAATCCTACTAATTAATACTCCGACTAAAAGTGCTAATTAAAAGATATACCCGAACAAACTTCAAGCAGACAGAGTAACACCGCAAACAAAAATGTTTCACCCTGGAAAAGTTATTCTAGATCAGAACAATACACCTCTCGATAATTATACCAAGTTGCTAAGGGCGCGTTCACACGAGTCCGTTGTTAACGATTCGTAAAATAACGATACGTCATCATGACGACGCGACGTAGTCCAGTTAGACCCGCCCGAATAGTACACTTCTTAGGCTGGGTTGCACCATCTTACGTCAAAAATCTGTCAAACTCTATACAAAAAACACCGTTTATCGTTAAAGTTACTGGTAAAGTTAGGTGGTACAGCTCCGCCTTAGCCTAGTCTTTATTTTTATATAGATAGCTGCTAATGCGTTTGTTAGACAGGACGTTATTAGATGAAAATTTTCACCTTAATTAAAGGTACCAGGGCGTCATAACCTTACAGGAGCTATTTTGATGTTTGGAAGGTTTTTATGACCTGGTACTTTACTGTGAAAAAAATCATAAAACATTGACGATTTATGTGTTTTTGACGCATGTGATTTTTATAAAACAAATCTCATTTAAAGACGTATGTGTAATTTTTCACGGTCTGTGATGGGTGAACACGGGCATTTAAAAAGTATTGTCGCCGTCAAAAAAGTCGATTACTCAAAAAATACAAATCCTCGTGTGAACGCGCTCCCTAATGATTGGGCTACGAACTTTGCACGTTTATTACTCTTATTTTGTTAACGACTGTAACAGTGGCCATTTATTAATATAAAACTATCCACCGTTTATTGATACTAAAGTAATTAACTATTTCACTCTTATTGGACCACCGATTTAATATTGGCAGTGTTTGAGAACTCTAATAAGTACATCAAAGGACATGGACACATTTATTTTATATTGTTTGCATCGATTTAGGTTTTTATTATGTAGGTATCTCATTATGTAACCTTGTAGAAGCTTTGCTATATTTTTAACTCAAGGAAAATACACATACATCTTTTTTTCATCCTCAGAATGTAAATGGGTATTTATATGCATATCATATGGTTGTAAACCACCATGGTCTTAAAAAGGTAAGTTACTTAAGCGTCAGAAAAAATCGAATTAAAACAGCAGAAAACACCATGTCACACTTTCATATTGCACATTGTTACAATCTGTTAATACGTAACCCTAAATTATTTTTCTTTAAAATACTTTCTTACTCCAACTATATTAAATTCTATTAACTTCAATTGGAATGTCAAGTAGGTACTAGAAACCTGCATAGCTGTGACCCCGCGGTCGGCCGCATAGTTCAAATACTCCGGAGTCCGCTAACTACTGAATTGTCTTCATCGGGCGACGGTTAGGGTTAAATCCCAACTAATATTATAAATGCGAAAGTAACTCTGTCTGTCTGTCTGTCTGTCTGTCTGTCTGTCTGTCTGACTGTTACGCTTTCCCGCTTAAACCTCGCAACCGATTTTGATGAAATTTGGCATAGAGATAGTTTGAGTCCCGGGAAAGAACATAGGATAGTTTTTACCCCGGTTTTTGAAACGGACGCGCGCGATAAAGTTTTTCTGTGACAGACAAAATTCCACGTGGGCGAAGCCGAGGGCGGAAAGCTAGTATAGATATAAATAGATGCCGATTGCTTCTTTAAATATCAATGAAAGCCGGGGTATTTGGGATGTTTAAAAAATGCGCTTATGGTTTATAAGCGGAATTAGAATGTATTTTATACTCGGAAAAAGCAAAAAATCTTGAAAGAAACATTACGGGCTATGACATTTTATAGCTGATTCACACATAGGATCCGTGAAATTACAGTCACGGACCCGTAATCACGGACGTACCTACCACTGAAGCTCCGTGAACTGAGCATGTGTGTGAATTCAATCATTGATGCAACACTGAAGCACTGATCATCAACTGACATAGAGATTTTGTGTCAGGTAATTAATTGTCTTTAGTAAAACCGTGGGAAGTTTCTTATAGCTCTAGCGCAAAACTCAGTACATGAGCTATGGAAGCGGCATGTTAGAGTGTTTTAGTGGATGTCAAACGTCAGCGAGATTTCAGATTTGTATGTTCAGTCACGTCATAATGTCAATGTTACCTCTCCCGTGCGTCTCCGATTCCTCGGACTCAGTTAAGCGCTGGTAAGCTATAGTTTCTTATCACGTCGGCCGTTTGGTGTAGTGGTTTCGAAACGGACTACTACGCCGAGAGGTCCCGGGTTCGGTTCCCGGCCGGGCAGAAATTGAAATGGTGAATTTTAATTTCTGTGTCGGGTCTAGGTGTTACTATGTATAATATGTAGGTATGTATTTACAAAAAAAGTATTTAAGTATGTTTATATCCGTTGTCTAGTACCCATAGTACAAGCTTTGCCTAGTTTGGGACTAGAAGCGTAGTGTATAATGTCCAAGGATATTTATTATTTATTTATTTATCAACCACTCACCTCTCCAGGAAAAGTGTGGTGGTCAATCTGGTGTTCAGACCCTCGGTTGTCGCCCATGCCATAATGGAAGTAGATCTCTTCAAACTGGTATCGGTAGGAGAGCGGTCCCCCGCTGATGTTGACCTGGTGCTTCGAGTCTTTCTCCACTCGGAAGACTAAGGACTGGCCTGTGTTCTGCAGGACCCCGCTGACCTGTGGAAGACGCAATTTTAGATCTACTGTAGACTGTGAGCATTCGCGTAGATTTTTGTTCGCGAGCGTGTGGTTCGCGAGCGTGTGGTTCGCGAGCAATGAGGGCTATTGTTTTAGCGCTCACCAGTTAGCGCCACTGTAGAGTAAGGTCCTGTCACTTGCTAGTAGCGAAGACAGTGGCACCAACTGGTGAGCGCTAAAGTGGTAAGAGGACTATCGCATTTGCACACATCAAGATGGCGCCACTGTAGAGTAAGGTCCTGTCAATCGCCAGGGGTGCTAATGCCAACTGTTAAGTATAAAAACGATAGCCCTCATTGATTCGCGAGCGTGTGGTTCGCGAGCCTTTGATTCGCGAGCGTTTGATTCGTGAACGCTCTCGGCTCGCGAACAAAGGTGGGAATGTGAATACATGTCAGTAAATAATCTAAAAATGAGGTTATTCAGATCGTTCTTCTAAAACCTGCGAGATTACTTTGTATCGTTTCTATGCTTTGAAAATAGCTTAATTCGAAGAAGTTTTTTCAAAGCATTTCAATCCTACATTGCACGCATACGAATGTAAACAGCTCTTACGATTCCATATTCGAATGGCAACAAAATAATAGGTAGTACGCGAATTAAATGATTTTACAATTATATCCTATCTGGAAATCAAATCCTAAACACTGGAGTACAGATTAGATTACTCACAGACAGCTATTTCATAGAGATAGTTACAAATTATAACATTATTATCAACGTTGTTACAAAACACAACAATTTATTAAAACAAATCTTTTATCTTTACTGTTTGTCGTCCATTTTAACACCTACTTAGTTGTTATTTATGCCACCCTGTATGTCATTAGCGCTGTCTCTTTAATGGCTTCGAAATGGAATAGATATGCTAATACAGGGTGGTGGGTTACGGATACTTAGGCTTGATGATTTTTTTGTTATACGAGTATTAGAAAGAACTAGAATAAACGTTGCTTGCTGTAAAGTTCAATTCGATGGTTATTTAAATAATCTTATACCCCTGTTTAGATACCTATGCGTAACAAAGAAAGGAGGCAAAAAATAACTGAGAGTCGTTTTTAAATGCATCCTTTGTATGAAAATTAAAGGTAAGGTACATGAGGGGCACGTTAAAGCCCGATTGACATATTGATACCTATACTTAAGGCAGCTTGAAAAGTTTGACTGCAGTTCATTCTGTTGAATTCAGTTGTAAAAATTTTACAATCGACATGTTAAAATGTGTCATTTCAGTAGATCAAAGTAGGTATACTGTCATTTCATATCTTCGTTCTCACTTAATTGCATCTTATATCATTGTAAGGCTGGTTTTAGTGTCACGCGGACCGTCCGGTGCGGACCGATCTGTATGAACTGCTAGGGAGCGGAGCGGTTCCTCCGGACCGCATTACTCTAAAACGCTCCCTAGAAGTTCATACAGATTGGCCGTGCGGAGCGATCCGCACTGACAGTCCGCGTGACACTAAAACTAGCCTAATAGGTGCGATTCTACAATAATAATTTATAGCTTGTTGTTCTGTGGCCTATAAAACACGCCCCACCGCCTCAAAACTCATCATAATGGTTTCCAGACTTGTAACGCGAATGAATCAGGCATAACGACGGGGGGCTGATCCTATCAATCAATGGACACGCCTTGATTAAAGCTTAGAAACTCAGTAAGCTTTGAGCATAGATGACATATTGGCCGCAGACACGCGAGCGGTAAGGAGGTGTGAAGTGCTGGAAGTGCCCCTTTTGCATAAAAATGTTACAAAATTTTGTTGATACTGTAGGAGTTTGGCTAAGGGGTCTTGTTAAGCCGGGATCCCATATGAAATGTGCCATACCCACGTATTTACACTACAAAATTTTGTGCTTAAACTTTTGAAACCAACCTGTCTACTCGATACGAAACTTCATTGGTTAGGTTTTTAATAGAAATTAAGTTGTAAGTTATGGCTACGTATTACAGCAGTGGGAATGAGAGGTGGGAATAGTCTCGTGATCGATGCGAAAAATCATTCAGTGCTTGAGAACATGAGAGGACATGGGAAGCCTTGTGAGGTTGATTGAAATGAGAGAAGAAAGGTAGTCGTCAAATTGGGAAACAAAAACCAAAAAAAAAGTCACCAGACATGGGACCCTGATATACCGCATTACTATAATATTTTGATTTTATTTCTGGAGATACCTTTGATTATTTGATTCGGACCTACATTTTGACAAATAAAGTCAACATTTGTCAATTAATTATGAAGAAATTCACGAAGATTCGTGTAGTAGAAGTTATGCTTGGGGAGTCAACATGATGGTCTAAAAGTATGATATTTTGTAGTATTTTGATGATCTTGCCAATGCTATTCACAGCTTATTTGCATACTTTAAATTTAGTAGTCGCTTCCAGTGATGCTTTGTAGTTGCGTCACAAAAAAGATAAAGTGTGTAGGAGTGGCTGCCCTTGGGAAGTTCTAAAACTGTTTATTATGTAAGTGATAGCGTTGAATATTTTGTAGAGATCTTTTTGATTAAAGTTTTCCATTTAATTTTGTTTCGGTTTGTTGCAATTGATAGATGTATTGTTTATGTTGTAACTAGGGCCTTTATCCAGAAGATCAAGCGTCGCAAGAGGAACTGGATCGGCCACACTCTCTGAAGGGACCCCGATCACATCCCCAAGCAGGCTCTGTATTGGAAGTTTGGAACCTCCAACGAAAACGCAAACGTGGCCGCCCCAAACTTTGGCGGCGCACTGTAGCAGACGAGGCGAAGAAAATCGGCAAGACTTGGAGCGAGATCAAACACGAAGCTCAAGATCGAATGCGATGGAGGACTGTTGTGGACGCCCTCTGCCCCATCTAGGGGACATAGGGGACTTTATTTATATTTGGATATTCTTTAAACTTTCATATTTGTTAAAGAAATATAATATTCTAGAATATAGTTCCGAGTCGACTTGATAACGCTGCCACATACAAAGGAAATAACCTAATTTCCAGTGAATTTAGTTACAGCGACTAACAACTTAGCGAAAACATAAACCGCTATACGGCTCGCAAAAACGGGCGATAGCCGCTGATATGCTGCATACATTACCATGAACTTACGGCACAAAGAATAAAGATACAGAGGCGTGGTTCGATGCTAAGTTTAGAAATAGTTTGGAGTGTAGGTGTACATAATATTCAAATTCAAATTTAGACCTTTTTCAGGACACTTATACACTCAAGCATAGCTTGCTCTAATATTACCAAATATTTATTGGTGTTGAGGAGAAGTGGTGAAAAAAGTCCCGGCAGATTTTCAGACTTTTTACCGACTATAGTTTGATCGGTTTCTTTGTTTCAGGAATCGGCCTAAACTCAATCGGTGTAATGTTAACCTTCACAGGTTCATACTGATTAACAGCCCGATTAAACTATCAGCCGACGGAAAATATGTAGTACCTACTCTATTGAGAACTCTTAAAATGACAGTCGAGCAATACAGAAATTATGATTCAGGATAGCCCTTTAAATAGTTCTTGGGATCCATCTTACGTTCTTGCGATCCATCTTACATTCCTGGGATCTATCTTAGGTTCCATGCGAATCTGCTATTTAATTTATTTCCAATTTACTATTCTGCCTACACAAACGTACCTTATGCTTGTCAAACTGTATGTCCCTCAGCCAGGGGTCGAACAACAACTTGTCCGGTTCGATGTTGACCGGACTCTGCCGGCGGCCCTTGTTGCACATGCTCCATTGAGGGTTGATCAGACCCCAAAAGCCGGGACCTGGAAAAATATCAATATTAACCTCTTCTGAACATTCAAGTATAACAAAATAGCTGGCCTGGCGAACTTCGTACCGTCCAGTCAATTGCGAAAAATGGCGGGGTGTATATCTAATTTATTTAAAAACCCTTATTTTACTCTTACCCTCATTTTTTGGTAGTCGAATAAAAAGTAGCCAATATGTTAACCACTTATAGTTTGATAAAGATTCCATACATTTTGAATGAACAGATAGTGACAACTTTTTGTACATCATAGAACATCATACAGATAATATGTAGAATCCTTTCATAATTAGGTACGAGTATGAAAGAATTTGACTCTTGCTGAAAAAGTTATTGTTAAATGTACGAGCAATAATAGGCTAGTTTCCTAAAAAAATTTTTTTAGTCCGTCATGTTTAATATCAAAAAATATTGGACACATATATTTTTATTTGTCAATCTAACAAATAATAACATAGTTATGGTGCGTTGAAGTTCCGCACGACGTCACAACGTGCGGCAATTTTATGCACGCATTGACGTCACGGGCCTCTTCTTATGAACTTTGGCGCGCTTTATCTCTTTCAATTTTCATTAGTTTGAAAAAGTGAAAAATACGTGTAGAGTATTTTTTGATAAGTTAACTGACGGACTAATTAAAACTCTTGCTTTTTGACCCAGGAAACATTCCTATTGTTCTTATTCGAATACAGACATTATTATATCAATCTAATTTTAGCATGAAAAATGGCCGCCCCAGAATATACTTACCTACCAGTTTAATGTTGGAATGGATACAAATAGAATTAACACAATTAATGTAGGCTACATAATATAATTAACTATTAATCACACAATACAGACACAGATTTGGCAAAACAATGTGAAATAAGATTATAATATATTTTAGTACTGTAGAGGTGAAAATTATCAGCCTACGTGTAGAGATTGGTTAATAAAGGTTGAAACTCTGTTTAGTACAGTCTATCAGTATTAAGTCAATATTTTATTTATTTGTACAGACTATGGCCTTTAACTTGCATTTATACTGATGGCTGACAAGACAATAGTGACTGACTTTCTTGCGCTGCTTCTTCTCAGCACTGGCCCATTTATTGTCCCGAAGCAGTGTTAGGGTTAATATTGGGACGTGTAAAAGTGCTTTTTAAAAAACCTATTTGCAAAAATAAATGAGTTTTATGAGTTTTTACTCATCGCTGCTGTTATAAATGGAAACACTTGAGCTAATATTTTTATTTTAGAAAAATATAAAAACCTTTACACTTGACATTCAACTTAATAGAAGTTCTCTTATGGCGTGTCCACACATGCCGCCGGGTTGACCGCCGGCCGTGCCGCCCGGCATGTGTGGATACGCCATTACAGCTCAAATTTTTCAGTTGAATATCAGATTATAGCGAGATTTAACTAAAATAACGAGTACGCGGAAAATCGTTTTATTCAATTCACAGTTACATTTTGTTTTCATACAGTTACAGTTTGTTTATTCAGCAAATTACACTCAGAAATTGGACTATCATTTTGAAATTATCCATAACTGTACTGAATTGTGTTGGTAAAAATTTTTGAACCGAGATTTTGCTCTTAATTATGTAGAATACTGTGATGTAACTGTGAATGTCTTAAATGTGTATTGATGTTGGTGTACCTTTATCAATAAATAAATAAATAGAATAAAAAACTGAGTTATTTTTACAAAATTAGCAAATCGCACTTTGTTAGTTCCTAAAAATACATAAAATTATTCGTGTATCCAAAATTAGGCCTTACAAACCACATGTTCAAACCCTTTTATATGACAGCAATGATCACAGCATTCAAAATGTTATCTAAAATGCTAATTACCACCCTAATCTCGTGTAATGATGTATCAGAGCAGCCCATTCAGGGTGTGTAGTGATAGCACTTTCAATGGATGTCCGCACAGTTCCATTCAGCTGGTAATGTGCCGCTAGGGTGCCCTATCGGACAGTTGGGGTAGCCATGATTTGAGTGAATAGGACACTATTTGACTAAATACATAATTATACATCGTGTTCCAAAATTCAACGATAAGCCGGCGCCATAGGGTAGACAAGATCACTTTTGGAAAAATAAGAAAAAAAAACAATCTTATGACCTTGTACACGGGTCTATGGCGCGCGCTTATTGATGAATTTTGGGACACGATGTAGATAGCAATATTTTATTGGGAAATCTACAAAAATAAAATGTCACACTTCACACACAGTGCTTACTTTGATGTGCTATTGTCTGTATGTATGTGTTATAGTGTTATTACAAAGCTTTTATTCAGGTGGAAATAAATGTAACTAAGCCTAATTTTATAAAGGAGGGTGTCAAAACATTTTAAAAATTCCATCAAATGTGCGCACCTTTTCCCGTAATTTTTCGTCATCATGTAGACTACTACAGATATCCACTACTGGACATAAGACTTTTGCTTGACATTAGATCGCGATTTCCAATAATCAGTTAATTCATGAGTTACGTTAGTACTTGGGTAGTAAGTTACCGTGTTCTTCCCAAAATTACAGTTTGATTTTTACAGTGAGTGTTACAGGTTAACAAATCAAATTTACCGTGACACGTCTAAAAAGTTTCACTAGAAGTACCATTACCGAAAATCACTCCACGTAAAGATACTTCACGGTCGAGTAACCCTGCCAAATTCGGGGGTATCGACTGCCCAATATAATGACACGGTTGACCGCACTGTCATTAAGATTCTATCGGCCATCATTACCCTGCTATCATTATACCGCGTATCATTGCCTGGGTACGGGCATTATGCCCCTATTTTTCAAGAATAATAGTGTTTGGTAACTTGGAATGTAGCGTTTGTTTTAGTTTGATTAAGAAAATTACCTGATATGCCATCGTACGTCCACCATTCTTCCCAGCTACCTGATATATCTGTAAAAAAGGAATTGGTTAAACCACTTGACAAAAAGGGTTAAAAAAAATAAATGTAAAAAAATTATCTATGAATATTAGGGGAAAAATTATAGTCTAAGCAAAAATGACCCAAGATTTGTGGTTTATTGTCGATAGCTTTCCGCCCGCGTGGACTTTTCCTTTTTTTTATAGTATAACCTATGACACTCAGTAATAATGTGGCTTTCTATTGCTGAAAGAATTTTTAAAATCGGTTCAGTAGATCCCGAGAGTACCCCTTACAATTTAACAAATATACAAACACACAAACTTTACCTCTTTATAATATTAGTATAGATTTGTCACAGAGTTGGCCTTGTCACAGAAAAAAGATGAATAAATTCGTCACATTTCATATTTTATGTCTCTTTCGCCATATAATGTTGATTACTTTTGAACACGTTTATGATGAATTTACTGTCAATGTCTGAAGCCTATAAAAATGTGATAAGTAAATCGATTTGGTGGCAAATTGATAATGCGTTTTTTGTGCCACTCAGAGTTGGCTGTTGCCTGATTCTTCTAATTTATTAAAGTGCATTAAGGCGATTATCACACTGCACCGTGCTCCGCCGCGGTACGCGGGACGAGAGATTTAATCATTGTATGCAAGTACCTCAATTTTTATAGAAAACACGCGCGGCACCACACACTGACAACGCGTTTGCGCGCGGGATTTTTATATGTAATCACATGGACCGCGGCGGAGCGCTGTGCAGTGTGATAATCGCCTAACATGCTTTATTATTTACCTTTGACTGAGACACATAGGAGGGTAAGTATGAAGAGCGAGCATTGGTGCATCGTCGATGCCGTGATTACTGGCGCCACCGCATTGGGAGCCGATTCTGGAACAAACATACAAAACTATATTAGTTAGAGAACTATGGATAAACAATATTTACTAATATTGTGAAGGAGGAGAGTCTGTAATAAAAAGAGTAATGTAGAGTTTGCTTATTTGAAAAATAATTCTTATTATGACGATTTAAAAAAGGTATTTAGATAAAAATAAAGCTACAGTTTAATCACACAAGAAAACCCTTATATAAGCTCTGCTCTACAACCTTCCGATTGGATTTTTAATTTTAATATTTTTTTAATAGTTAATAATTATCTGAATATTTTTGGCTATTCATTTATTATCCTACGTATTATTTACATTCTTACAAAAAATGCCCACATAAAATAAAACGCTAAATAATTTGCTGATTTTAAATTTTACTCTAGGAAATGAAATAAAATATTATGACAACTTCATAAAACTCGCAATATTTCCACGGTTAATCTTTAACCGTTTTACTGAAAACGTGACAAAAACAAACATTAACTCAACAATTTTGTGGCATTAACTTTTCACAGCCAAAACGGTTGCCAGTTTAAAAATGAATTACTGAACCATATAATTTGAAGTGCACCATTTCATGTCGTTGAAAGGTTTAATTTAAGGGTAATTAGTAAATAAATTAGTGGAGTGCAATTACCTTAGCTAGGACACAGCAAAACTAGAACAGTCCACTTTTGAAAAGAATACAAATGCTATTATCATCAACAAAAAAAACTTCGTGATATCAAAAGTAGCGTTGATATTGTACCTACCTACCTACCTAGATTACAAATCAAACCGTAAAATCACAAGACAAACTTGTAATTTTTAAATAAAAAAATACTTATAGAGCAACAAGTAATTAATTCTAAATCTAAGCAAATTTTCAATAAAAATTACCTACTAAACTAGTATCAACGATACGAAATAATTTTTAAATGGCATTGTATGTAATGTGCTTATGTGCTGGGCTAGTAGAGTTGCAGAATTATTATCATTATTAACTTTTTAAAATTTGTGACATCCATTTTTTTTAACTGTAAGTATCGTAATAAAATAATCGTACACTATCAAGTAGGATCTGGATAAGTAAATCACAGTGCTGAATTACTTATCTATCAAAGGGCGTGTGTTGACGTCAACACGCCCTAAGCCGTCGTGAATAGAATAAATGAGAATGGGCTGGCTGACTTACATTACCTTCGCCAGAGACAAATATGTGGTAGCTACTTAATTACCCCGCAACATGCGAGCTAGTCGCTGCAATGAGTTTTGTCTTTGTGCAGTTATCGCAACTCCTAATTAATAAGCTCTGTTCTAAATACTCATTAGAGCTCACAATGTAATCATTTTACAACGTATGTACCTAATGCCTGTATTCACTTGCTTAAGTGAAGCAGCAAATTACGCACAGCGTTGAATAGAGCTCTGATTGGTTCATGCGCATATTTGTAAGTTAATCAAATGAGCTTAATTTTTAAATTATTTTTAGGCGACAATATCAACTACGAACGATGTCGAACTCAGTTTCGGACTTGCCGAAGGTCGGTAGTTCGAACCCCGTCATCATCATCATCATTTCAGCCATAGGACGTCCACTGCTGAACATAGGCCTCCCCCAATGATTTCCACGGTTGGTGGCGGCCTGCATCCAGCGCCTTCCCGCTACCTTTAGAGGTCGTCGAACTCCGTGACCGCTGGACTATTGTAATCCACTCACCATTCATAACACAAGCTTTAAATTAGCTCGAAGAGTTTTAATGAGACTATTAGTACCTAAGTGCAAAACAAATTATTATTATTCTTCAAAAAATATAAGGGCACATTAAATCCAATTTAGCAACATTATGGTAGTCAACGTTCTCAAGTATTGCAGTGGATTCTTTTAATTCATAAATATTAGAATTCCATACCTACACCGTTTAATTACCATAAAATTGTAAGGCAAATCTTTACCGTTATCAAAACCGTTAACTTTTATTCCCGCCTTTTTCCCAAACGTCACTAATCCCCAACTAAAGATTTGGAATCGCGTAATTAGATACTTCGTTAACCCTATCTAAGATCTTTAGTTCAATGTAACGAACAAGCCGGTGTAATTCCACAGACATTAGCGTTATCTTAACCCTGATTGTGCGGCTGGAGATAAAGAGGTAATTTCCTCCGTGCTGGGATTTTTTACCCCCACCGTGTAACGTTGTTTTGAGATAAATTTTATCTTGGAGATTTGCGTTGTCCTTTTGCGTTGTGGCGGAGATTGGATGGTTAGTTGGTTAACTAGGAAACCTTTCAGTTTACTGTATGTAGGTAAGTCTATGTTTACGAATTGGCATGATTAGATTTACGATGATTTTTAACTATGACAATAATTCAGATTGCATTCATAAAATTTTTCGTGTCGCAAGTTTTCGAATTCCTTCCCATTTAAAGGTCAAAAGGCCTAAATGGTATGACTATAAGTAATCAAGGATTGAACGCACTTTGCATAATTTTATTACATTATGTGCGTATTTCATAATCAAATGTAACCAAAAATAACAATAAACATTCCTTGATATTACCAAAGACGACGAAATTACTGCATCACATACACGTACACACAATACATAAAACTGTAAATCAGGCAGAGTGTGAATCCACGCCACGAAAATCTCACAACTCACATTTTTCTATAACCCTCAATTATTCCAACGATCATGTTGAACCAACACTTTGTTAATGAATTCAAACGATGGTTTACCCCGTTGAGGGGTAACCGAGGAGGAAGTGGGGCAATCATGGCACCCAGCAGTGGGAGGGTTAACGGTCGAAGATTGCACCGCAAAAGATATCGTGTGGAATTCTGATTTTATCTATTTTTGTTTCGCTAATGAACTGTTAGGTTTGTTACGTGATTATGTTTTTTTCACAGCTCGTTATGTTCTTTGATGTTTAGAAATTGTTATTCATTTTTTTTAGTTTCACAGGTTTAATTTGACTAACAGACTAATAAATTTTTTGCTAGCAGTGTTTTCTTTTTACAACTAAAGGTAGTAGGTATAGATACATTTATATTTGACTAAAAGAATGCATGAAATATGAAATATGCATGGTTAAATAAATATATACCTATGCATAAATTATAAGATACATAATATTTACAAAGCATAGTTCAATTTACGTATAGATTTTTTTTTAAATTTTCATCAGCATATTTGTTTTTGTTTTTCTTTCCTGCACTAGAAGTACCGCCAAACAAATTTCTTTTCTGCTCAACCCAAAGGTAAACTGGTAGAGAATGCTTTAGTGCATTAAGTTCGCCTTATGTACAAATTTATTTTGGCATCAAAGTTTAAATAAATAAATAAAAAATCATCAATGAATTATTTCTACATGCAAACAAAACACTACTGCTTCTTCGAACAACTATTGACGGCAAATACTTAAATACAGTACGTAGCATAGCACTTTATGTAGCTGTATTAAGAGTGATATTGCAATGAATTAATTCACAGTCTGTATTGAAGACTGTACTTCATGTAGTAATTATGGCGAGCATCACCGATAATGGTGAAACTCACTTACAAAAATAAAGAAAATACGTTTACATTATGTTAGTATTTCCATTATTGTTCATTACAGAAGACTTAAAACTATTCCTAGACTTAAAACTATTCTTAGTTAAAGTTGTATAATATTTGAACTTTAGAGGTTGGTCACCAAATCTATAAAAATGGAAAAAATCAAACCAAACCGCGAGCTAAGTAAGCACAGCGCCATCTAGATTGCCGGATACGAAACTAAAGCTTATAAGCAATCTATTATATTATTTCTAAGAGAACCAAATTAAAATACCGGCTTCCATAATTCTTAGCACTTATAAATGGTGATTTAAAACAAAATTGCCTTTTCAATCAATACGGGTCTGTAGATGAAAATCTTTTTAACTTTCAAATACGTCTCTGAATAGTTATTTGCTCTACCAAATTAAAGTAGGTGAAAAAGTGATTTTTAACTTAGAAATAGAAATCGGCACAATAGAGTTATTAAAGGCCACCCTGGTGGTGAAAGCATGGGCGATATTATTTCGAGATTTCTAGCAAAGTGAACGTGGTCTTAGTAAAATGCAATTAATTAGTATTAATGAAATTCTTAAACCAATTATCATGCATTTTAATGTATGTTTAGGACACTGTACGAGTATAATAATGTAGAGAGTAAAGGTGTAAATCATACCATTCATGTATTTTTTTTTTAAATTTTCAATCTTTTTAGACATAAAAATAAAAGTTAGATTGTAGAGTCAAATGTAATGAAATATTTTTCGTGAAATCTTGACTATAGTCTTTTTCACGTAAGATGATCCGTATGACACTTCAAGGTTATCCATATTACGCATACTACATTATGCAGAATATTTTTGAAAAAATATTTGTATTTTATTAGAAATATAATTAAAAAAAATAACTAATTGTCTTGACATATACAGGATGTCAGGTAAATGGGTATATGAGCCGACACTAGCCCATGTTAACATGGTCATATAAATGGTATGGTGAAGTCAGAAAATGTATATCTTCATTTTAATTATTTTATTTTTCAAACAAATCGGATTTTATAAAATTAATTTTGTATGAAAATTAAAAAAATTAAAATGATGATATCAAATTTCTGACTTCACCATACCAATTATATATTATGCCCATGTTAACATGGGCTAGTGTCGGCTCATATACCCATTTACCTAACACCCTGTATAGTAAAATCTGAGTCTATTGATTATATTTTAATTAATTACGATGTAAAAATATTTTTTATTTAATGTACGCAATGTGTGAAACGGAATAGATTTAGTGCTGGGGTATTTCTTGTATAATAAAATCGATTATTTTCGCGGTTCATTAATCGATTGCAGTGAATACTTAGTTATTAAAAACATTACAAAAATCAACTATATTTTTCGATTATTGACTTTAATAAACGCATTGAAAATAAATTAATAGTTTTTAATTTAAAGAAACAGAACCAGTACTCTTTAG